CCCCAAAACCCCAAAACCCCAAAACCCCATAAACTAATTCGGGATATTATTGGGATAATTTTTATTTTAATTAACATCAATATAATTTTGAGTAGTAATTATAAGAGTTAAATATAATGACTGAGAAATAAACAAAAAATATATTGCCAGCTCTTGGCAAAAAGAGGAGTCCTTCTGTACTGCACCATGATTCTGCAAGATAAGCTGCATTTATTGTTCAAGAAACATAGTGAAAATCTTAAAACTATCAAAATCTTAAGAGATCTAGTACTGTGAAACCATAGTCAAAGTCTCTTAGCAAAATAAGTGCTAAAAAGATCACAAATCGACTAAAAAATCCAATAATCAATGAGGAAAAATCTGAGCAGATGAATTAAACTGAGGACTATGACATGAATTTATTCTCAGAAATAAGCTCATAATCTGATAACTCTGAGACATCAAAATAAACTGTAACAGCCTAGGTAAAATTACATGAGTCACTTATTTTTATAGAAAGTATTTAAATTATTGCGCAAGGATTTTTCCTCAAGGTCTAATGCAGATTTAACTACTTTGAATCAGTATTTCATTAAAAAAAATATGTTTTTCAAGACTCTTTTGTAAGAAAAGGGGTTGTATGATCTCAACAGAATCTATAAGTGTCTCTATCTAGAGCAATTTTAAACAGATGACATAGTTTGTAACTTTGGAGAAAAAGGAGAAAAATTTTATATAGTCTTAAAAGGAATAGTAGGAGTCAAAGTTCCTACCGAAATAAAAACTACATGCAAAAACTATTTTGAAATTATGAAATTCTTGATCAGACAAAAATAAAATGTGACCAAATTAAAAGATAATCACAGTAGAGTAGTTAAAAAATTCATAGATTCTATTGGATCTGAGCCTTTGGACAAACTTGAAGGTCTTGAATAGTTAATATCATTTATTGATAAGAGAAGATAAGTTTTGGAATTTGAGAGATAATTGCAGCAAATTGAGGATAATGCTTCTAATAATGATTCTTTTGTGATCCCAACAACTGATATAAAGAAAAAGAAATAAGCTTAAATTGATTAGAGCTAAAAAGAATAGTTCATTAATGAATTTTAAAAATAAATTTTGATTCAAAAGGACACAACTAAGACTATTTCATTCTCAATTTAGTTAATTGTTCTTACTGAAGTAGCTTAGCTGGAAGAAGGGAAGAGTTTCGGAGAACTTGCTTTAATTACCGACTAAAATAGAAAAGCTACTGTTTATTGTAAAACCAATAATGTTGCTTTGGCAGTCCTAATGAAAGGGGACTACTAAAGATATATTGGAGATAGTTTCAAATAAAAAATGGATGATGCAATAAAAGTGCTGAAAAATTATGACATCTTTAAGAAAGTATCAATGAGAAGATTATTCACACTTTACTATTATGCAAAGGAGAAACACTACTCTAAGTAATGCTACTTATATAGATAAGATGATAAAATTGATGGAGTCTATTTGATTGTGAATGGATCATATGAGAAACAAAGGAGAAATGAACTTGTCTATAAGAAATCTGCTTCTCCAATAAGAGAGAATGGATTTGATCCTAATTAGTTAGTGTTATCACTTATATCTGGATTTGAAATTTTAGGCCTAGAAGAGATTATTTTAGGATATAAATAAAGGTAACACTCTGTATAGGTAGCTAGTGAAAAAGCTTTTGTAATGTTTTTCTCTGAGAAAGATTTCAAAGAAAGAATCATTAAGCCTCATCCAGCAATATTAAAACATTTGAGGTAATAATATGCGATGAAGCTATAATTCTACTCTAAAAGAGAAAATGAGATAAATTAACTAAGATTTTTAATGGGTAAAGAGTAAATAAAGATAATGGATGCTTTAAAACTCCAGAGTAAAAGGACTTCCCTTGGTTTGAGAAGCTGTTCAGTAGATAGAGCAAAATTTATTGATTAGAGAGAATAACTATAACTTTTGATTAAAGATCAAAGAATGAGAGGGTTGTACAACAGAGGAGGATTGACTGAGTTCAGCAATCTAATGATTTAGAAATCTCTAAATATCGACATGATGCATTTAATGGAATAAGATATGCTGAAGAAATAATAACAGAGTGAATTTTTTAAGTCTAGGAATAATAGAACTGTCCTTAGTAAAAGTCAAAACAATATTAAGGCTATGGGGTTGAATGATCCTAGAAAAGATTCTCTAAATATGAGCAAAACACTCTATTCCAACATTAACGAAACTACTCATGCTTCATTTCTAATTGATGAAAAAGAAAAACCAGATCCTAAAACAAGTCTGAGTACTAGGGGTAAACAGAGTGAGAGTATTATTCTCAAGAAATTCGCTCTCAAGTAAAACACTACTAATGAAATCAATATCTAAACATTAGAAAAAGTTACTGCAAGGCTTCAAAATTAAATTACTTAATAATGTGAGGCTTTAAGACAAGATAGAGAAAAGAAGCAGCTAATCTAGTTTTTGAGAAATAATGGCCATAATATTGGGTAATAGATTGCTGAGTAAAGCATCAAGAGAATTCAGGATGATACAGATGATCAAATAGATTAGAATTTAGTAACTTATGAAGAAATAGAGAGAAAAAGAATGATTTAAAGTCTCAGAATTAAGTATGGCTAAAGTCCCTTGCAATCAAGACATGAAGAAAGTATTTCATTCAGAGGGCCAAAGAAGAAAACTTTGGTCATTAACAATGCCATAAAGAGTTTTGACAAGAAAACTCAAGAGAGATATTTAAATGGGCCATTACTCTAGGAAGATTCTATTCAGTTGGTGGAACTATAATCAAAATATGCGATTGGAACATAAAGGCAAGATAACATCCACTCTGAATAGAAAACTAAGTCCAGAAACAATTTTATTGATAAACTCAATAGTAAAGCAAGTTTATAGCATGACACAATGGGATCCTCCAAAGACTATTTCATAAGACTCGACAGAGATTAAGCAACATTTAAAAAAATAAATGATCAAAAAACGGTAGATAACATAAATAAAACACCAAAGTTGATATCATAGAATTCGTTGTATAAATAGCCAGATCCTATAGTATTTCAGCAAATTCAACCTAAACTATTGTCAATAGTTTTGCCAAATAATATTTAGCACTTTTAAAACTAGAATTAACAGACAATAAGTAATAATTAATACTTGGAGTACGCTAAATAGAACATTTCTGTAACTTAAGAAGACAATTTGCTTAAGCCAAATGAATCCTTTTCAAGAAAGAAATTGAAGGGCTCTAAGATGAATAGTCATCATAAATCAAGTAATCTTAATACAGATTTACCTAGCACTATTTAATCAGAAGAACATACACCTAGACTTTAAAAACCATTAAATAAAATAAAAATTAATCGTAAGAATCCAGCATAAAGATAAATGAGTTCATCAATTGATGTTCATGCAAATAATCATGTTTTCCAGGGATTTGCAGATCAATCTGGGGATAAGTTCCTATTCAGATTTAAATCCCATATAAAGATTTAAACTCCCACTCTGAATTTTAATAACAATCAAAACACTAGAAACAATATCAGCTAATTTAGTAAATTTCAAGACAGTTTTTCATTTAGATAAAATAGGCAATCTATTTCACCTGTCCTAAATTAAAAGATATATGAAAAAATTTACCAATTCAAAAATTTTAATCCAATGAAGAAGCTAAAAAAAGCGACTAATGAACCTAATTTTAATAGACTTTGATTTTAAAACACACAAAAAACTCAAACTAAATTATTAAATTTAATCCTTTATTTCATTATTTAAAGTCAATATTGGTTTCAGGGGTTTTGGGGTTTTGGGG